AAGTCTAAGGTGTGTCTCTTGTAGGCAGCATATAGACGGATCGTGCTTTTTTATCCAATCTGCCACTCTCTGTCTCTTTATTGGTGCATTTAGTCTGTTTACATTCAGCGTAATTATTGATAGGTATGAGTTTACTGCTGTCATTTTGATGTCTTTTTTTGTGTGTTGTTCACAGTTTTTTTGTTCCCCTTAATTTTCTATGCTGACTAGTTTTTCTTTATTTTCTTTTCATCTTTCATTGTTGATGTTGTGTTTGCTGGGTCTTTATATTTTTCTATAAACTCTAAGCTAAACGTAATAGCTAACACATACTGAATGCATGTCACAGCCATTTCACATAGATTGTTTTATTTAATCTTCTAAACAACCCTATGAAGTAGGAGATTCTGAGCACAAACTCTGAGTCAGACTACCTAGGTTCAAATCCTGACTCCACCGCTTAACTTGTGTGACCCTGAGCAAGTTACTTAGTCTTTCTGTGCCTGTTTCCTCATGTGTAAGTGGTAATGCTAATAATATGCAGTGTTGTGAGGGTTAATACCAGTAAAATTCTTAGAACTGTGCCTGGTGTATAGTAAATACCTGATAAATATGAGCTATTATTATGAGGAGTGGTAGTAATTATCTCAATTTTACAGATGAGGAAAATGAGGCACTGGGAAGTCAGGTATATAACTTGAGTGAAACCCCAAAGTATAAAGTGGTGGAGCCAGAATTTGAACTCGGTGCTCTACTGCTTTCAAAAATTTTTTTAGAAAAGTGGTATTTGGACTTTAACCCTATCCTCAAGTCACACAAATCAAGAATATTTACAAATGAAATGCAAACACAAGAAAAAGGAAATGATCTGCCCTTTCATGTCTTTAGAATGTTAGCCAGAATGCTAACTAGGTATCCAGAGAAGGCTGGGAATAGTCACATCTTTTTGCTGGAAATTCTTTTCTTAGTCCTAATTGGAAATTGGGCCCTTTCCAAGAATAAGACTTTCGGTAACTGGATTGGTGTTTTCAATCTCATTTCTGATGTTATTCTTATTTAAAAAGCTATTTAATGATTCCAAAGAAGCTAACTTCACAAAAGAAATCACATCATTGACAAGGAGAAAACACACACATAAAACCTACATCACAAACACTTATGAAAACACTAAGAAAAAGCAGGAATGTGCATATCACTGGAAAGAAGGCTAATCTTAGAAGACAAGACACTATCAGCTGAAATCGACTCAACAGCAATGGGTTTTTGTTTGTACTAGAAAGAGGTGAATGTCGCTGTCCTCATTTATGAACTGTGACTATAAAATAATGAGCCCAAATTTTCAAAAAGAAGTGGATGAAATTATTGCATAATTTTCAAACATGGTACTGTCTTCAAAATCAGTTAAGTCACACTGAAAAATCAGCCTTGGCATTTCAGCCATATGTTATTACTGACAACACTAGTTCCTACCATGTGTTGAACACACCACCTCCTATGCAGTGTTCATTCAACAAATATTTACTGATCACCACTACTGTTCTAGGAAACAGAGACGAGGTGGTGGGCAAGATAGAGGCCCTACTTTCATAGAGCTTCCATTCCAGGCAGGTATTATAAAGAAATTGAGGCTCAGATTCCCAGGTCTGTCAGACTCTAAAGCCTACCCTATATCTCTCCACCATGGCAATCTCTCATTGGTGAGGTATAGCTTCCCTTAAAGGCACACACCTAAGCATGCAGCCCTGACAGCACTGTCTGCCACCATTTATGGTACCTCTCTGTCTGCAGCCCAAGTGTCACCTTCTCAATGAAGTGTTCCTCCCTCAATTCCCAAGACTAAAGATATTTACATGTTTGAACTTCCATTTCTTCCTCACTACTCCCGAAGCTCCCTCAGGGCAAGCAAAACCCATGTCTTGTCCATCTCTGGAAGTCTAGAAGATGATCCACACAGTAGGCACTCAATAAGTGGTTGAGTGGAGCTCATAAGAGCAGTTTCAATAGACAGTTGAGGGTGGAAGCAAGACTACAAAGAACTGAGGAGCAAGTGGAAGAGAAGGACATAGAGTCTGCTTTTCAGAGACAAGTCTAGAAAGGAAAAGGAGGGGAAATGGTAGTAATTTAAAGGGGAAATATAATCTCCTTCATGATCACAGGAGAGTTTTAATTTTTTTTTTTTTAAGAATGAGAAAGACTTGAATTTGTTGGTAAAGTAGGAAGAGCAGGCGTTTTAGAGCCATAGACTTGAATTTGAAATCTGGCCCTGCCACTTTTTGTGTCTATAGGCAAATCACTTAACCTCTGTGTCTCAACTTACACATAGCTAAAATAAGAATGATAATACCTACACCTCACTGCATTGTTGTGACAATAACAGGCGTGACAAATAGAAGACATTTAATAAATGGTATCAATGATTATTACTGCACATAGGAGCCTGGGCTCTGGTGTTCTAACCCATCCCACAATACATCATATACTCCAGTCCAGAATCCCTGATTATGTCTATGTGTAATATGTGATGGCAATGGAAACAGGATCTTTATTTCTTCTGTGTGTACCATCCTTTGTGCTATTCCCATTTCCTTGTAACAGTCTTTATGAGCTCATGAATGGCTGCTGTGGAAAACTACTGATGTCACCAGCTGAGTAACAGAGAGGATCTAGAGAATAAGCAGATGAAACATGTTAAATCATCAAACATACAAGATTTTGGGTTCCTGCCAAAACCTTCCGTCAGAGCTAAAGAGAAAAACTGAAAACACAAACACAAAAAACATTTCCTAAGCTTCTAAACCTGGCATTCACTCCAGGCACAGAAAGATGGCCATATAATAAAAGAGACGATTGTCTCCTGAGTTCCTTTCTCAACACTTCACCCTAATGTCAGGTTCATTTCTGTGACTTATATGGCTCCAGTTCACTGACTTTCCTGCCAACCTGACAAGTTCCCAAATTCACAAGGTTAGTATGCTCTTTTATATTTAACTTTGAACAATTTTTGCTTCTAGCCTTTTAAAGTTAATGTTTGGTCATGGGTATGTTCACCTGTTACCTATATATGATCAAGAGAAACACCTCCTGTCCCTTACCTCTCTCCCCTAGATCACACACCTCCATTATTAAAAAGAGTTATAGGAAAAAGGACCAAAGCCCAGGCTGATGTGATAATTAGTCACGAAAGAGCTACATTCAGTTAGGATTATCAAAAGACAGGAAATGTGCTGAACTTAATTTAGAATCAATTACAGAAACGAATATGTAAAACAAAGATGATAAAACTATTGTTCAGAGTCACTGAGTGGCATAATTGGTTAAATGCTGAACTACAAACCAAAGATTGGCAGTTCAAACCCACCCAGAGACACCTTGGAAGAAAGGCCTGGTGATCGGCTTCTAAAACAGTCACAGCCTTGAAAACCCTATGGAGCACAGTTCTACTCTACACACATGGGGGTCTCCATGAGTTGGAATTGACTGGACAGGCAACTTGTTTTCTTGTTTTAAGAGTTCAGAGAGAATTGGAAGATAAGGAAAAGAGATTAGGAAGAGAAGAAGTAGGAAATATACGTTCCTAAAAACTCAATTAAATTGAAATCACAAAAGCTACAAGGAAACAAGTCAAAGTTGAAAATTCAGTTTTTGTGAATCAGAGTCTGACTAGGAACTTGAACTCACCAAGAAAGAATAAGAAAGGAGGGTAAAGAATATTGCAAGACACCTCTAATAAGAAAACAAAAAACCAACAAAAAGAGAGCTGGTAACCCACCACAAATTTCACGTTAGCTGGTAACCTGCCACAAATTTCACATGCGGCACAAGACTATAAAATAAGATACAGCGATATAGCCACTGAAAAGAAACTTTAAAACTTCTTTTTTCCCATTATATAAAAAGCAGCCTGGCTCAGTGAACTAAGTATGAAAATAATTTTCAAAATTCCAATTCTAACCACACTGGGTGATCCTGGCTAAAATACGCCTCAATTTCCCCAATGTTAAAACACAAACACATATTATATAGTTCAATACAAAAGTCAAATCAAATCAATTTTTCCCTCCGAGACTCAGGTGAGTCGGGCATCCCTGGTTACAGTTTTGGCTGGGACTGTGTTCCGAGTCTGGGTCTGAATCCGAGACTGTTCTGAATCTGGATCTGAATCTTAATTGAAGCCACAAGCAAAATCTGAGGAGAGTTTGCTGCTATAAACGTGACCGAAGCAGCCATACTTTAAAAAGCAAAAGCAGGAGCAACGCCAGCGCCAGATGCCGTTTCTGTAAACTGCTCCCAGCTGCGGATGGGATGTAGGCTGGCTCGTGCACCAGGGGCTCCTAAGCCAGAACCCGGTGCCGCTCCACCCAGCTGGGCCAGCAAAGGCCACCAAAGGGGCGCTCGTCACGCCGGGCCGGGGTCTCCGGCTCTGGGACGCGGGTCCCCTCCGGCTGCCCTGGCAGAGCCCGGACTGGGACCAGGGAGGGGGGCGTGCAGGTGCAGAGCCGCCGCCCCCGCCCCAAGGCCCTGCCCCGGGAGGGCCCGCAGGCCTCGCACCCGGGACCGCAGCAACTCGCGCCGGGCAGTCCGGGACCCCCATTCCATCCCAGCACCGGGCAAGTCCGCCCCGCCGCTCCTTCCAGCCGCAGAAGGCTTTCCCTTCCACTCCTCAGCCCCCTCGGCCCTTCTGTCCGTCGGCAGTCAGTCTGCCCACAGCTGCCCCCGCGGTCCTCACGGAGATGAATGGGCACCGGGGCCTCGAAGACCCCAACGAGCCCCCACCGACCAAGCGCTCCGCACTCACCTGCCCTGTAGGCTGAAAGCCGGGCGGGGAGGTGTCCAGCTGCCCGCCGCCGCGCGTCCCTGGCCGCCTCGGTGGAGATGCTGGCTCGGACTCAGTCAGCCCTCCGCGGCCCCATTGCGCACGCGCGGCTGGCTGAGGGGGCGGCAGCGGAGCATGCTGGGGGCTGTAGTCGTGCGCGCTGTCCTGACAGGCCAGGCAGCGGGTCTGAGCGCCCCCAAAAGCCCGCACGGGCGCTTCCTTCCCAGCCGAGGCTATGGCCCACGGGCAGGCGGGGTCACGGAAGGGCTTCGAAGCGCGATTCTAGTTAGCGATGCCTAAAGGACTCCTGTCTGCGCTGCAGCCGGAGGAGCTTGGCGCGATATGAGCGGCGGGATGGCGACGATGTGAAGTGGACCCACAGTCAGGATGAGACTAGATGGAGCAAGTTCTGAGAAGGAGCGGTCCTTACCTGGGCCTCATTATCTAAATATTGAAGTGCCTTCCTTTCGGGTCTACAGAACCAGCCCTAGACCTACCTGATCCACTCTTAGACTATTCACAAGCCTTGGAGGGAATCACGAATGGGAACAAATCGGTTGAGGTGGTGTCCAAGAAGTCGTCACTGTCCTGGGCCGCGCATGATGCAGTGGGTGTAGTCAGAAGGCCTACTTTTGAGGGCCTTAATCATACTAACATTTAGCTCACTTACAAAATGAGAATGGGAACTTAAGGTTCTTGTGAGGACTCCATGCTGTTTGTGAAAAATGTGTGAAGCACAGTACAATACCGGTCCAAAAAGGCAGTTGCCCCATCTCCTTTTGCAATCTAGGTCCTACTTGACCTTGGGCTTTAGCTTGAAGAAAATGGTGCTTGCCAGGTTCTAAAAATGTCACCAAAGCTACAACAATATTACAGGAACTTTTCCCTATAAATTTCACCCTAAATATAAACTTAGAGCTGCTTATTAAACATGGGTTCCTGATCATGTTTATAGCAGGTGGTGGCCCGGGGTGAATAAGGAGCCACAAGCAAAGCCTACAGAATACAGCAGGCAGTCTCAATCCTGACCTCATTACACTGTGCCCAGTTTACAAAGCACTTCCGCAGGTCTCCCAACACGGCTGTACTGAAAACACAGCGAGTTTTATCATTTGCATTTCACACAGGAGAATCTGGCCAAAGTAGTGAGAGCTAAGTGGCAGAGCAGAAATCTGAGCCCATTTTTTGTGGCCAAGTTCACTTTTCTTTCCAATCACAGCACTGCCTCTTTCTAACTCAGCTTTTTAGAAAAAATTGCCTCACGGCTACGAATTCCAGTCGTTTTAGTGTGGTGACATCCCTTTTCTCTCACCTCACAATCTGCAAGAGTTGGATTTCTTAAATTTATCTTTATGGGAAAAGACAATTTGAAATAGATGTCAGATAAGCTGAGGTATCAAAACCCAACAGTTGGGTAATGCTAATTTCAGCATAGGCACCTCAGGTGTTTGCAGTAAACTTCTAACATTTCATTTGGCCTACTTTTCCTACAGACTTAGTAAGGACCTAAGAGCTTGGAAGAAATACAGCCAGAGTGCTCCTTGGAAGCGAAGATTGTGAAACTTAAGTCTCCCATACTTTGGACATGTTATCAGCAGGGACTAGTGTTTGGAAAAGGAAATCATACTTGGTACAGGGTCAGCAAAAAAGGGGCAGACCCTCAACAAAATGGACTGACACAGTGACTGCAACAATGGAGCAATGAAACATAGCAATGATTGTGAGGATGGCACAGGACCGGGCAGTGTTTTGTTCTGCTGTACATCTAGGGTTGCTATGAGTTGGAACCAACTTGACAGCACCTAACAACAAGAGCTTGTCAGTGCTATTACCAAATAAAACTTCCAGCCCACTCCCTGATACTCCTGCGGAACATTTGTGAGAGATCAATACCGGGCAGGTCTAAAGGCCACAGAAGACAAAGTGAGTACTTCCCTTTTAAGGACTGGTAGATTGGCTAACAATTACATAAAACTTTCATATTTGTGAGTACTGTGTAAGAACTCTAATATACCCACAGCCTCCACTAGCCAGACAACAGGATGGAAAAAGAAAAATGTCAAAATTGTAAAAGCTTCCTAGGACAGCACCGTAGGCCTGGCAGTGTTTCGTTCCGTTGCACATGGGGTTGCTATAAGTCTGAACCCAGCTGTGGGCACCAAACCACCACCACCGGACAGTACCCAAGGTGAGACCCTTCTCCATTCTGGCAATGCCCAGTAGGGGGTGGATGGAGCCAGGTGTAGTAAAGTAATTCCCCACAAAGGTGGGAAAACAACACTTTCACCACAATGGAGAAAGTGAAAGTGAAAACACAGCCCCAGGGAAAACCAGCAGAAGCTGTGTGGATTTCTTGTAATTAAAAAGTTGTATCATCTCAACAGCACCTTTTCTCCATGTCGCTTAAAGAGCTTTCCCTGTATCTACATGTGGAACTACGCGTGACCCAGCTATTGAGGAGCCCCTCTCACATTTAGTGTACAGTCTGTTTCCTGCGCTGCAACTGTAAGTGACAGCAGGGCAAAGCCAGTCTTGCTCGCCACTGTATGCCCAGTACAGCAGGGTGCTGAAAAACGCATTGTTAAAGTATGAAACTCAGAGCAGAAATAAGAAAAATATTTTGTAAATACTTGTTTCCATCAATTATCATAAAAGAAATGAAGCTTTCTGAATGCAAAGTATAAATATATCTCATTTTGCCTTTTTTCATTGAAGGAAATGAGCAATTTGAGCAATGGTGGGTTTAATCCTTTTGCGATCTGTACTTTAAATTTGGACCTCTGCAGTATACACTTAAAATATACTTGACCTATTAAGATTCTTACAACTGGCACTATCCTAAATACTTGAAAGACAGCTGTCCTATTAAAGTTTAAAACCATAGGCACGGTGTAACACTTTTCCAGGGGTTTAAACTTTAACAGAGGATTTCTCAGGGCCCTCGAGCCATAGCAATGAAAAGGATGGATCCATGGGTGGATGGAAACAGACTCAGCCTTTATGGCGCCAGTCTCCCTCCCAATCTCGCACATATGTGGCCACTTAGTATCACTCATTAAAGAGTGATACTGGTACTTCCTAGGAATCCCTTTGTGGGGATTAGGGACAAGGGAGTCTGCAGTAGTTCCTAAGAGGCCCCTTTCCACTGCATCCTGGGCTAGAATGTTACCAAACCTCCATTTCTGCCCTATTTGTGGCGGATAGAAGAGGAAGGTCTGACACCACACAAATACAGAAAACTTGCAGAAGACAAGTCAGAATCTGAAAGGCCGGATCAAGCATGTCTTTTCTAAAGCCAAAGGACCTTTATGTGACAAATGATCAGGAGGGCCTCATATTTGTTTTCATCCATTAAAAAACCTCAAATCTCATTTGACCTTTGTCCAGGTAGTCAGCAGCAGATAATCTGGTCCTCCCTGGTACTGATGTTGAGCTGTTAGCCAGAGACTCAACTCAGTTTCTTCTTCAGTTTGGACTTTCCATGAAGGCAAATTACCATCCATACTCAGCATTTAAACCACTTCCTCAGAAGCTTGTCCTCTGACCTGTTTCTCTGTACACAGCACTTACTAGGGTAAGGATATAGTTGCCAGATCCAGAGTGGAGAAACAAAATACTACTTAGATTCCTAAGTTCAGAATTAGCTAAATTTATGAACTAAATGTTGTGCCCGTTAGACCACATCTCTGATAAAGAACGTATCTTCTAAGAAATAAATAAACGAATTCCAGTATTTTAAAAATAATGTATATTACAATGACTAAATGCAATTTCTGTTCCAGGTGGGATCCTGGAACAGGAAAAAAGGCATTAGTGAAAAACTAAGGAAACCTGAGTAAAGTATGGACTTCAGTTGATGATGTATTAACATCAGTTTGTTAATTGTGACAAATATGCCATACTAATGTAAGATGTTAATAATAGGGAAAGCTGGGTACAGTGTAAATGGGAACTCTCTGTACTATCATTACAGTTTTTCTGTAAATCTAAAACTATTCTAAAATAAAAAGTTTATTTAAACAAAAATGTTATTTTAAAACTTGAAAAAACACAAAAACATAAAGAAGTCACCTTAAACCCATTATCTAAGAAACCACACTTAATATTCTGCTCTATAGCCCGCCAGCCTTTTTTTTTTCCCTGGCTGGTTCAAGTTCAAGGGGTACCTTTCCTATGGCAGGCAAACCAAACAGCAGCATCCTGAAGTCTCAGGCTGCTCGCTCATTGAGCACACTTGGAGGAAAGAGGTAGGTGGGTGAAGTCTCCTGGTCTCAGAAAGGAAGTGACATTTTCTGAGTATTCATGGCGACCCCTATAGGACAGAGCAGAACTGCCCCATAGGGTTTCCAAGGCTGGAATCTTTACAGAAGCATACTGCCACATCTTTCTCTCACGGTGCAGCTGGTGGGTTCAAACTGCCGACCTTTCAGTTAGCAGCTGTGTGCTTAGCCACTATGCAACCTTACAATCACAAGTATGTAAGTATAAATACAAAAAAGAATGGAGAGAGGAAGAGAGGGAAAAACCACAAACAAACCCACCCATTCAAACAGTCCAGGAAGAAAAGCGGGCCAAATCACCAATCACTAGGGATCATAAATCCAGCGGCAGAATCATCACAGCAAGACTATTATCTTGTTTCCTTATTTTCTGTGAGGAAATTTATGAACTAAAATCCATGGTATCTGATATAACCAGTGTGACTGGTATGCAATATATGTTACAGATACACTGACAGTAGCTGCTTTCTCTGAGGCCATACCAGAGAAGCAGACAGAAAGCTTGCTCTGCCTTATGACTTTATTCCTTGGGGCAGAACTACTGGTTTCAAGCATCCCCTCAAGATTTTTATAAGAGGAATAATAGAGGGAGTAACCAAACTGTTTCTGGAAGAGCTGAGATCTCCTCTGGCTCTATGCTATCCATCCTTCCTCGCTGCACTGAACTGCATTAGAATCTGGTTTTAAGGATGGCCTCCTCCTATTCTTTCTTTCTAATAGGCTGAGTTCTTTACTTCTATTTTGATTAGATACAATTGGAGACAATTCAGTCTCTCCTCACACCATTCCTGATAACTACGTAGTCTTCTAGCTTCAGCTTGACCCATGGGGAGAGATCACTCACAGCAGCTCCCATGTCTGGCCCCAAACTATCTCAGACCCTTAACAATGGGAATGGGCTCTTGGGGCAACAGATAATCACTCTTCCTCCACACAACAGTATCTGAAGCCTTGACAAGTTTTCTCCTGTATAGAATAGAGTTCTAGCATTCCTTCTTTGGAGGCTGGCTCCATTTTATCCCTGTTCCTGTAACTGCCAAAACTGAACACAATGCTCTGAGTGTGGAGCAGTAAGACTCTAGTGGCTTTTCTGGACACTATGCTACCACTGAAGAGCCCTGGTCGCACAGTGGTTAAGCACTAGCTGCTAACCGAAAGGTTGGTGGTTCAAACCTACTAGCCACTCCACAGGAGAAAGATGGCAGTCTGCTTCTGTAAAGATTTAAAGCCTTGGAAACCCTATGGGGCAGTTTTGCCCTATTCTATAGGGCTGCTATGAGTTGGAATCGACTCAATGGCAATGGGCTTGGTTTTTTGGGTTATGCTACCACTAACACATCCTAAAACTGTCTTATATCAGTGGCACCCACTTCTGGCTCATCCTGAGTTTAAGGTTAACGTATCTGCATTTACCCTTACTAATTTTTTCCTTAGTTTTAGCCACATCATTTCAGTCTGTTTAGGGTAGATGAAATCTTGGTTATTATACCAAACGTTTTGCTTAATTCTCCTAGTTTTGGTCATCTGAAAATCTGATAAACTTTATTTTCATCTAAATTGAAATTCTTGTAGAATGAGACAGGGCTAAGAATAGAGGCCTGAGGCATTAACACTAGCGCTCCCCTTCCAAGTGGAGGGTAATTCATTACTCAACACTCTGTGGCTACAGTTGGCTCAATCAGCCATAAATCCATGTTTAATCCAAGGAGTGAAGATTGTCAATGTCTTGAAAAATCAATATACACAATTAGCATGTCCCTGACATACAAGCCTTATCACAAGAGACCTTATCAAAAGATGAAATGAGGTCTGGCACAACTTGAGCTGAGCAGGCCTGATGAGCATATCATTTGAGTTTTTACTATAGCTTCAAATTTCATTACGTAGCCAAACAAAACTGAAATAAAAGTGCCTACTATACTGAATCACTGAGCCCACATTATTTTGCTACACCCAGATCAAATTCTTCAGGAGGACCAGGAATTTCTTGCTACCGCACAATCAAGTGAACATGTGAAAGGACTTGATGAGGCAGCTGGAAAACGTGGCTTGAAAGAACAGAGAGTAAGCTGTGAGTTACCTTTATGATGCAAGTCTGTGTTGCTGTAAAAAACAGTCCACACACAATTTAATTTACTTCTGCACTGTGAACCCTGATATACATGAAAGTACCATGGAAAGGAAAAAGCACTGTATTGATTTAAGGCAACAATTCTTCCTGAAGTAAGACAAGGCACTACAGTGACACTGTTTTCATGCCTCAGCAATAAAAGTTAACCAACACTGATTCTTCATTTAATTCTTTTGCAGTGCTACAGATACAGTTCTGCTTTCACCTTCATCACACTTTCATACGGTTTCAACAGGGGAAATACCTCCTCTTCTAGGAATCTCTGCACCTGCCCAAGAGGAAAACAAACAGAAGACAAAAGAAAATGTTTAGATATAAGTTGTAAACATCTTTTTCAATGTCAGTTTGTACTAATGAGCCTTTTTTTTTTTTTTAAATTGTACTTTAGATGAAGGTTTACAGGACACATAGTTTCTCATTGAGCAGTACACATACTGTTTTATGACAAAGTTTAACAACCCCACAACATGTCAACACTGTCCCTTCTCAACCTTGGGTTCCCTATTACCAGCATTCCTGTCCCCTCCTGCCTTCTAGTCCTTGCCCCTGGGCTGTTGTGCCCCATTAGTCTCGTTTTGTTTTATGGGGCGTCTAATCTTTGGCTGAAGGGTGAACCTCAGGAATGACTTCATTACTTAGCCAAAACTGAGCCCTAATTTGATAAAGCTTTTACTCTACCACTGAGATTCTGTTCTCCTCAACAGTCTCTCAACACTCTCTCCCTGGACACAGACAACTCCACCACCAAGCCCAGACGCCAAGCTTTCCTATAAATCAGCCCAGCCTGCGTTCTCTCAGGTGGTCTCATGTTCTCCACCCAAGCGAAAACCATCACTGATTCTTCCCTCTTCCTTTCCAGCCTCATTCAACCAACCATCAAGTGATTAACCTCCTGAATATTCCTCAAATCTCTACCTCTTCTCCATCTACCACCACTGCCTTAAGGCAAAGCCCTCCTCATCTACTGAGTGGCCTACTGCAGCAGGTTCTTTATTGGTCTTCCTCCTCCAGTTTTAAGTCTTTCAAATCCATCTTTTACATACCACCATAGTGATTTGAATATAAATGGCCGGCCACAACAAGCTCCTGTCTCTTTTCAGCTTCAAACCTATTACTTCTGAGCACATTATACTCCAGCAACACCCAACTGACAGTACTTTCTCTCACTTGCGAAATGGCTGTGCTTGCCACTTTCTCTCAGCCTGGCGCATTCCCAGGCTAACTTCTACTTGTCCCTTGAGATTCAGCCCAGATGTCATCTCTTCCAAGAAGGCTTTCCTAACTTCTCCTACTCTCCACCACCTCAAAAGGGTTGTCTCCTCCTTTGTGATCCCCAAACAGGCTCAGTATCCCTCAATTCCTGCATGTATTGATTGGTATTATAAATACCTATTTACAAGTCTTCACCACTAAGTTTTGAGCTCCTTGAAGACATGGATTATCTATTTATCTTTAAATCCCCAGAATTAAATCCAGTGCCTGAGCCCATACTGAGTACCTAGTATGTACTTGGTAGATGTTTTCTGAAAGAGCCCTGGTGTCGCAGTGGTTAAGAGCACGGCAGCTATCCTAAAGGTCGGCAGTTTGAACCCACCAGCCACTCTGCAGGAGAGAGATGTGGCGGTCTGCTTCTGTAAAGATTACAGCCTTGGAAACTATGGGGCAGTTCTCCTCTGCCCTATACAGTTGCTATAGGCCAGAATCGACTTGATAGCACACAACAAGAACAAATGCTTTCTGAATACATTCTTCTCTCTTCTCCAAAAGGCCAAGCAGGAGAATGATATTTGCTGAGAATCAATATGTGCCACGCACTATGCCAGGCACACAGCCACTGTTAGGCCTTTCATTCAATTCTCACAAGAACACTCTGAGAGAAATATTTTTATCCTATCAGCCAGTAAATGTCACAAGTCAGGATTGAACCTAGATCACCAGACAGTAAAACTGGATCTTTGTCTACTATACCACATAGACTCCCTCTAGACTAAAAGAGAATTCAGACAAATCCACGTAGGGAAATGTTTAAGGTGGCTCAAAATAGCCAAATCTTTACATTTTTGCCAGCACCGTTCTGAATTCATTCTAGTTCCATTCCCTCCACCTCCCCACCCGCCCCATCAAAGACAGTATTCCAGGTTCTGCAGCGCAGCAGTGTGGGAAAAAAAAAAAACAAGCAAACAAGCATTTAGGGTAGATTTCAACACCGTGAACGTGTTCTGACTGATGCTCACCTGCTGGGATGCACGACCAGTGAAAGAAGAAGGATCTAGTAAACGGTCCAACTGGGAGTGAATGGGACTGAAGTAGGTATCAGCCCGGATACGCTCTATGAGGTCATTGTCACTCCCTTCCTGCTTGACCACAGCGGCTGCCTGCTGGGACAGCACTCTAATTTTCTCGTGGCAATCCTGGGAAAGGAAAGGGAAGTGGTGTTGGTTTACTACCAACAGGGGGCATTTGCAAACTCTTGAAAAGTCATCAGACTCTCCTCACCCACTCTGTCTACACAGGTGGCACCCAAAACCCCTCCAGGCTGAGGTGATTCGCCTCCCATTGACTCCACCAGGATCTTCATTCTCTGATCACATTGTAGGATGGATCTGAAATGGGTGCCTACCTCCCTGGCTTCTCTTCTCTAAAGCCACATGAACCATCTGCTCTATTTCCTGCTCACTTCCCACTGAAATACAGACCCCACCTCTTCACTGAGAGTGCCCTTTCTGCGAGTGATTCAGTAATTCCTTTTTACTAAATCAAATTCACCACAACCCCCCTTCAGAGACTAGTCTTTTCTATGGCAGAATATGGTCATTGTTCTGTGCCAATACCATGACTGAAGGTAATGACCAAAATGCCTTCAACCATCCTTCTTTAAGGAGAGAGCAGGACTAAGGTGCACACTCAATTTATCCAGGAGCACGAGGGGTTACAAACCTGGCGGCTACCCCCAGCTTTCACCATGGCCATGATGATGTTCTCCGTGGCCATGAAAGGCAGCTCTTGCCAAATACGCCGCTCTATGACCTAGAAGAGCAGAGTGAGTGAGGGGCCCAGAAACATGCTTCAAGCTAAATGTCATACACACAGCAGGGTTATCAACTATGCCAAACAAAATGCACAGAGGGAAAAGGTACTAACTACGATGTTCATGGAGAAAAAATAATGGGCTATTTTATTCTACATCATAATAATCCAGAGTATTATCCTGGTTGAAAAAGAAAGAAAGACTGATTTGAATAAACTTCTACAAGTTGCTTAATCAGAACAGTTCCTAAAACCTTAAGTTTGTTAATTTTGGTGCCCAACCTCAAGAGCCCAGTATATGATGGAAACGAACCCATGTGCCACAGGTACTTAAAACCAGACAAATGGAGCTTTCTACTTGGCTGAGTCACACAAGAGCTGATGATTCATGATGGTAGATAGTTTAGGCCAATTTAAAGTATTTCTTTTCTTTTCTATAAATGTGTCTGTGACTACCTAATGCTCTTGAAGAATGAGCTCCAGCTGGGAAGAACTCCTACTGGACCATAATGCATCCACCCCGCACACTCACCTCAAAGCAGGAAAAGGTCACATTCCTTCCCACATTCCAACCCTCCCTAATTCTCTGCCTTTTAATTGAGGCCTCTTACTTTGGGGTACACCACCAATCCTTCAGAAATGTTCTGCAGCGTATTCAATATAGTATCTGCAGTAAGAAATGCCTCGGCCAAACAGATACGTCTAAAAAACAAACAGCCAACTCAGTTATCTCTTTAAACAAATAAAAACTTCAGTAAAATGTAGCTGCGTCCCAAGAATCTGCCCTAAGTCCTCTTGACTTCTTGTGTCATATGTACTCCCTGGACAATCTCCTTCAATCTCATGGCTTCAACTACCCCTATTATCCTGATGACCCTCAAATCTATCACCTCCAGCCCAGACCACGTGCCCAAGTGCCAGATCTTACACCCACCCAACTAGGGAGCGCCAACCTGGTTGACGCATAGGTACCTCAAACGCAAATGAATTCAGCCATGTTCTCATTGCTTCCTTCTCACCATCTCAAACCTGACCTTCCTCTCTCTGTAGCTGCTGCCTCAGTAAATGGCACTAGCACCCCCAGTCACTTAGTTCCTTACAGTCCAATCAACCACCTTGGCTGGCTTATCTGCATTCAACTTTATAATCACAGCCTTCCTCTCCAAATTACTTCTGACCTGTCTCATAACTCATCAAGATGTCACTATTCCAAGACATTATAGTTGACATCTACCCGCCCTCAGAATAAACTACACTCCTTTCCAGGGCCTAAAAGGCCTCTTATAAGCTGGCTCCTACCCACAATCATGTCCTGCTTCATCTCTTGGCATAATGACTTCATTCTCCAGCACTACTAGTAACTTCTTAAACGGTGCTCTCTCTTGCCTTTACACAGGGTGCCGATCTCATCATTTCTTCAGTCTTACAGCATCACCTCATCTGTGAAGCTTTCTCGACTCCTGCGACGCTACCCCTTCCTCTGCTCCCACTCTACCTTAGACACTTTTGATCACAGCACTTATCACTGTACTGTCCTTTAACATTCTTCCTCCCCACTAGACTGCAGGGCCCTTGGGGACAAGGTGGGAAGGCAGAGATGCTCAAATATATCCTCCTACTTCCAGGCTCCTCCTCATCCTAGCCTTCCCCAACTTGGCCGGTTCCACTGACCGGTTGGCACTATCATCCAGCGTGCGTTCAAACCACTGCACAGATGCTGTCTGCAGCGGGTCCATGATGAGGGTCATCAGGTGACGGGCGAGGCTGCAGCAACGCTCCGAGCGCATAGGGTTCCGCTTGTATGGCATCGCACTGGAGCCTGACCATGCAAAGGACCAGCAAGGTAGAAAGACGTCAGAGGACAGCGAGTGTGCAGCCGGGCGAGCTGTAACACACGCCTGCAGCCTCCCGGCACCTCTGTGTTGCTCCCAGGTCTCCACCCGACACTCACCAATCTGCTGTTTTTCAAAGGGTTCCTCCAACTCCTTGAGGTTTGCCAGGAGACGTATGTCGGTGCAAATCTGGGGAAAGGGGAACAGGCATCATCCCACAATCTCAGCACGCAGGCGTCTGGGAGCAGGGATTAGACAGATGAACGAGACGAGCTCTTCAGGTGTGGTGCCCTCAAGAGCTCTAGGAAGTATCTTACTCAGACTTCTCTCTCTGCTCCCGAGGAGCTGGGATGACAAATTCACGGGGCCTGATAACTTTTTGTGAAACACTACTTAGGACAACACAAGACAATGAAAAGACAACAGCAAGACTAACTTCATACACCTCGGAACAAGGTGGACATTTGTAGGCTTCAGAGTAACTTTAATGAGAATGCCAAAACTAGTCCTGCCCTTTAAAATACATTCATTTAAGAGAAGTGCCACACGTAGGCTACAAATTGCTAAGAACTGACATCTGAGAAACACAATTAAGTAAAAGTCTGAGGCTGAGTCGGTCTGTCTGTGGGGCCCAAAGCTCCCCTGACTCCCAGCTAGCACCACTCACCTTGTGCACTGATGCTCCCAAGCTAGCCAGCACAGATAGCACCTCAATATCCACTTTCCGTGTGTATGTTTGCCCTGTGATGATGAAAGCCCTAGAAATAAACAGAAAAGAATCTTAAGTTAAAATATGTCAAAACATGACTTCACTCAGTCTTACTGGTATGTTCTGTCACATGGAGTCCAGAGGACCTGACAGGTAACTTGGTCCTGGAACACACTGTCCTCCACCATTTTTATCAATGACCTGACCTGAACAGAAGCATAGCCCAGTGCACCCATGTCCTGCCACAGTCCAATGCAAGTGCCTAGGAAGAACCATGATGGGGCCTGGTGACCCTCAATGGAGACAGTCAAATTCCAGACAGATCCAGAGGCCCTCAGTACAGGAAACAAAAACCACATCAACATGGTTAACAGCTACTTGAAAAACTCAGAAATAAATGGTTTTCTTTTTTCCTTATAAATTATAAAAAAATAGAACCCAGACTATAAAAAAATAAAACTCAGGCCAGAGATGGAAAGAAATGCGTAGAACGAAGGAAGAAAATGACAAAAAAGTTAAGGTCCAATCTACAGGTATACTGAGTGCAAGCCTTTGGTCAACGTAATGGGGAGGTTAACGTTTTCCCATTTACCTACCTCTTAAACCCTGCCTTTTCTGTCACCATCTTGTCAAGCTGTTCTACCTTGAAGAGAAAAGACACATCCCTGTAGAAATCCAGGTGTGTCTAGTAGGAGAATATCTCAGCATCATCCTGCCCAGGTGTCTGTCCTCTTTCCAGCCTAAAGACCCCACCCAGCCCTCAATCTCTCCTGTCATCCTGGAGGTCAGCCCTGCCCTGTGCTCCCACAGTACCTTCTGGTCATCTCCCTCGAAGAGCTGCAGGAAGCTTGCCTGCGTGCCAGTGGTGCCTTTCACTCCTCTGAAGCGCAGATCGTCTCTGATGCGCTTCAAGTTCTGGAGATCCATGCAAAGATCTTGAATCCAAAGGCAGCAACGTTTCCCAACTGTGGTCAGCTGAGCAGGCCTGAAAACAATCCAAGGAGAACATACAGAAGTCTCAAACTAAGGCCTTACTTCATAAAAACGTCATCGCTTCTCCTAATAACCACTGTTACCCCTGGGACAGGGAACAATTACAGTAAGAGTTGGAGACGCTAGTAAGACTAAACAAGCGCTAAAAACAGTTTCACCAAATGATAGCTAAGGAACATCAATGTCATTGACAGATATTTAAAGTTTATAAAACTAAAGAGGGCTACTAGCATAGCGCTTTCTTCATCCTCAAGGGGCAGCATAATATAAAGGCAGGAACAATGTCTGTTTTTGCTCACGGCTATATCCCCAGACCATTACCAAATATATATTATTATACAACCACCTAACAAATACTAGCCAAGCAACTACTCTGTTCTCAGTACAGCGAACAAAACAGACAAGGTCCCTGTCTCTGCCCAATGGATCTTACACTGTTGTGTAAACAAGTAAACAAACAAAATAATTGTTGATACTATAAATGGTATAGAAGAATACAACAAGGATGAGAAGACTGGAAAAGGCCAATCCAGACTGGCAGTCAAGGAAGACCTGTGTAAGGAGCTAAAGTCTGACGATGAAGAGCCAGACAGACTGTGGAGAACCCCAAAATACATACAACCAAAAGGACACACTTTCTAACACAACATCTAATGGCTTTGCTTCCAGCCTGAAGTCTAAACCAGTCCACTACAGATTTGTTTCTGAACATAAAATGTAAATACAAATAAACTGCGATAATGTCCGAGTTCTAAAAGATAGCTTAGTCCACCTCAAGTGGGACTTCCCCAAATAGGCTGATGAATACTGACAGCTGGTGACACCAAGGCATACCATTAAGAAATGTTCATAGCAGGCACATCACAAACCATAGTCTATTCCCAAATTAATCTCGCTGTATGGTTTTCCTTGTTAACTCCTACTAACAGATTACTGGTTAGCAAATAAATAACTAAGTTTGCATGGACTTGTTCAGTCACGTACTGTACAGTTCTATTTATATGAAATGTCCAGAATAGGCAAATCCATAAAGACAAAAAGTGGATTAGTGGTTGCCTAGGGCTGGGAGGCTTGGGGAGAAATGGGGAGTGACTGCTCATAGGTATGGGGTTTCTTTATGGGGTGATGAAAACGTTCTGAAATTAGATAGCAGTGATGACAACACAACTTTGAATATTCTAAAAAATCACTGAACTGTACACTTTAAAAAAGGATTTATTTCATGGTATGTGACCTATACTTCAATGAAGCTGTTATTTAAAAAAAAAAAAAAAACACATCCACTGACACCCAGAGATGATGCCTACGCGTCAACACCATTTTCTGAGTTCCTAATGCCTGCTTAACCGCAGCAGCCAATTACCTCTACAGTTTGGCTTTCCCAACATGAATACCAGGACTGCGTTCCCTGAGCACACTCCAACAAACGTGGAGAGAAGAGGAGCTGCAGCACAGGCGATGCTAGGTGCACAGGGAAGCCAGCACAGAAAGGATCATTGTCTGTGGTCAAGCCACAAGCAACTGAGCACCAACTCCTTCACATGAACAATTTCTTCAGGTTTCTGCTACCAATCAAGGCAGGCCCTAACATAAGGAAGATTTATAAGCTCAACAGGCTTTCAGAAGTTATGAGATGATGCCCTTGTTGCCACAAGAATAGCCCATCGAAACATACGACAGATACGGCAATACAGCACTACTCAAATGACATCACTTGAACTTGTCACTAGCATTTGAAAATTGACATCATCAGCCTTCAAAAAGGGTTTATTTGGTAATCATAAAAGTACCTGTACATTTTTAAAATAAAAAATACAAAAAGTAGGAAAAAATTTAATTGTCCTATTATTAAACCAGAGCAATTGATATCAACATCTTGGAATACTTTCTTCCAGTCTTTTGTGCAATTGATACGCTGTCTTTTCCCCATAAAAATAACATTTCTATGTTATGACTCTTACAAGCATCATTTTAATGGCTGCATAATATTCCAACTGTAGATATACCATATCTTATTTAAGTATTCCCTTGTTAGACTTTTAGATAGCTTCCAATGTTTACTATCGTAAATAATACTGTAATAAAGATCTTTGTGCATAAATCTTTTCCCATAATTTGGATTACCTTCTTGAGCTAGATTCTCAAGAATGGAATTACTAAGTCAACGGGTACGAATACTTTCTAAGGCTACTGATACTATTTCCCAATGCTTACCAAATGAACTGTTAGATTTACTCTTCCACCAATACAGCTTTTAAGATGGGTATCAGGCTCATTCCTTGCAAGCATTTTTGAAAGATCCTAAGTTATCTGCTATGGTTATATTTCGGGATGCTTCACCTCAAAGGTTACCACAAAGAATGGAGAACTGAAGGCATAACTGAAAGTCAGATGCACGCAAACAAGTTCCACTCCCAAGAAGTAATATCACTTACTGAAAATGCGTGAAACCTAAGGTGGGAAGATCGGCTCGTTCCTTAGCAAAGTCGGCCAGCCGAGAGATCACTCTGGCAAGCTACAAGGGAAGACCATGTGGTAGAAAGAGGGTGAATTCAGGGTGAGATTATTACAAAATCAGTAACTAAACTATGACAATTCTATGTAAGACTAGACCTCCAGCTCAGTGAAGGCAGAGGCCACACCTTTTCATCTTAAAGTGCCTGGGAGAAGTCACAGCAACCAGTGTTTGAAAATTGCACCGACTACCTAGTAAGTTATGAAGTATTCCTGCAGGATTGTAAGGCTATTGGCAAATTCATGCAGAAAAACAGAACTAAGTCATAATCTTGAGGCACATATGACAGCAATGTGCCTTTGGTTACACTTCCTTAATTTAAAAGGTTGTGCTTTAAAAAGTGTTCACTTGTAAGGTTTTAACCCCCCAAAAGACAACTATTTCTATAGATTAGACCTAGGACGCATTCACCTGAGAAAATGATTATCTATTTAGATTTATATTTCCGTGACTCTTATTGGCACCTACTTCCTATCACAGGGAACCAAGGGCTGGTAGGAAGTTCTGCGAACTCCTTACCTTTGGCAAAAGCAGGTCAAATGCATTTCTAAGAATAATCAGGTCCTGCAAAGGAAAATGCAACGGTCTTAAATAGCTTTGTTCAAACAATATTATTACATAACTCTTTTTGACCATCTCAAAGGAGTTTCTCAGCTAGCAGCCTATCTCATCATTAGCAACCCTCTGTGCAAGCTAGAAGATACTAACTGAAGTCGTTCTTTTCTGATTACTGTTTTAAAAGTACGTCATCTTAGAAAGCAGTACTACTGGAATCCATAAGGAAGAAACCCTTTATTCTCATAAAGCCCTGTTTACATGGCATCTCAAATGAGTGATCGCCATAAAGGGTAAGGCCCCATCCTGAATGCCACACAGCTAATGTCCAGGTCAACAAGGTTTGTATCTTCCCAGAGAGGAGTGCTAGGGTCTCTGAGAAACTTCCATTTGGCACTTCATTAGTTTTCTCTTTTTTCACATCTATAAATTGTTAACAAAGAAAAGCATTCCCCAGAACAAGGTTTAGGAAATTTAAAGTTGCTCTGAGGGAGATAAGAGGCAATTCCAACACACACTTATATGAGGCAGTAATTTTTAAGCCCCAAAGATACACTGAAAAACCAAAAAACAAAACCCATTGCCATCAAGTCAATTCCAACTCATAGTGATCCTATAGGACACAGCAGAACTGCCCCACAGGGTTTCCGAGGAGCAGGTGGTAGATTTGAACTGCCGACCTTCTGGCTAGCAGCCAAGCTCTTAACCACTGTGCCAACAGGGCTCCATAAAGATACACTGAGTACTTTTTTAAAAAGGATATCCCAAGTGAGGGGATTATTCTTTTCCAGTTATCTTACTCACCAGTCACACAGATTTATGTACCATTTTGACTGAAAAAGTATTTGGGGCAGCTTAAAAATTACTGGCTTGGATTGGAAATTTATATGGCATCTAACTTCAGGTCTTACAGATGTACCGCGATTAAGAACATACGTGTTGGAGCCCTTCTACCTGGGTTTGTATCCTTCCTGGCTGTGTGACCTTGAGCAAGTTCTTCAATCTCTCTTTGTATTTCTTTTTATCTATACAGTCAAATAAAGCCAGACCCAATGATCCATTGATCATATCCCATGACCCACGTATATGAAATGTCCAGAAAAGGTAAAACTACAGAGCCAGAAAGCAGGTCAGTGGTTGCCTGAGGCGGGGGGGGGGGGGGGGACTGACTGCACACAGCATGAACGGACTTCCTGGAGTGATGGAGGTGTTCTAAAACTGGAGTGTGGTGAAAGCTAAACAACTGTATAAATTACTAAACCTCATCAGCTGTACATTTAAAATGGGTAAATTTCATGGTATGCAAATTATACCTTAATAAAGCAATTGTAAAAGGAGATAATAGCATCTGTCTCTTATGGGTGTTGTGAAGAATAAATGAAGTAATACGTGTAAAGTCTTAGAATAGCACCTAGCACCTGGTAAACTCACAAAAACACTTGCTGTTACTCTTCCATGTTTGACTATAAGACACTTTTGCTAATTCAAGGTTTTGTTAAACGATGATAATGCAATCCATCTTTCTTTCCAGGAATCACAGCCAAGAGATATGAAGGACTTTGGAAAGAGCCCTGTGGAAAATTACTTCAGCCACTAAAATGCTAAGACTGTGGCTTATGTCCAGCAGACCAATGCATAAGCAGTATCTGCAGGTCTTATTTTATGGAGGTTACTAGACACTTACAGTTTATTTGGGAGGATACCAATAGTGTGTTCAGCCATAAAACCCCTAAAAGTAAAGATCTAAGGAGTCACTTCCTAACACTGGACAAAATCAAATCAACTTTATAAATGTATTATAGAAAGCAAGTCCTAAGTGGAAACAAACAACACGGGCTCGTACTGTATTGTCTCCAACATAGCAGGACGTAGCACCCAGATGAATAATGCCAGCAGCTTTGGGACAGCAGTGGCCAAAGGTGTGCACGTGAGCCATCACATCATGTCGCAATCGCTTCTCTTCCTCAGCTGCCATCTTGAAGTCGATGTTGTCCAGGTTCGCTTTCATCTCCTGAATTTGTTCATCTGTGATAGGCAAACCCAGTGTCTGCAAAAGCAGCAAAATAAAAATCAAATAATCTCAGGTGTCACAATTATTTGAACTTAAGTGACACGGAGAAAACACTGGTTCATGGCATCAGTTATACCCTACCTCCCAATCCTTAAATTTGGGGCAAATACACTAAAGGTATATGGGGAAGGGAGGGGAGAAACTCTCTCAATGAATCATGGTAAGTGACATTCTAAGTAAACTCCAATATGTACAACAATGGAATCTTGCTCTCAACTACTCCCTCTGTCTCTCTAGCTCTCCTTGGCTCACTTCCTCACATTTCTGCCTCTCTACTCAAACTTCATCTCCTTAGAGAGGTCTTCCCCAACTTCAGCGTAACACCATACTCGTCTTCCATTCTGGGTCACTCTACCCCTTTACCTTGCTTTTACTTAGGGCACTTATCACATGACAGGTCCCTAGGTATTGAAAACGGTTCTCGCTCAACTGCTAACCTAAAGGTTGGCAGTTTGAACTCACTCAGCAGTACCTCAGAAGACAGGTCTGGCGATCTGCTTCCGTTAAGATTAAAACCAAAACCAAAACCCATTGTTGTTGAGTCGATTCCAACTCATATGGACCCTACAGGTCAGAGGAGAACTCCCCCATAGGCTTTCCAAGGCTGTAAGTCTTTATGGAAGCGGGCTGTCACATCTTTCTTCTGAGGAGCGGCTGGTGGGTTCCAACTGCCCACCTTTCAGTTAGCAGCCAAGCGCTTAACCACTGCACCACCAGGGAAAACCCTATGGAGTAGTTCTACTCTGTAACACAAGGAGTGGCCATGAATGGAAATGGACTCAACTAACAACATCACCACATGACATATTTACATATTTATTGCCTGTCCCTCCGTTCTACCATAGCTGCATAGTCCATGAGGAGAGTTCTGTTTTATTGTTTAATCATTAGAGTTTGGCACACAAGTGCCAAGAGTGTGGGACCCAGATGGATTTACTCTGAGAAATCAAAATTAGGAATTCTGTAAGTAGTTTTGACAGCAAACAAATCATGTACAAATTCAGAGCCACTGAAAGCAATTCCAGGAGATACTGATGAGAAAATAAACACATCAACAACATCTTATATTCATCCATCACTGGAAAAATCAGGCTGGCATAAAACAAAACAAACAAAAAACTCAGCTGGCAGCCCACAGACAGCTCTGAACCTTGGATCCAAGTACTGAACATACACACCAGCAAATGACAATGTGTTCAAACCTCACTTGAAACTCCCAGGAGTTTTAAGCCTAAGGACAGTGGCTTGCTTGTTAGACCTGCGCTGTCCAGCATGACAGCCTCATGTAGCTATTTAAATTTAAATTAATTAAATTAAAGAGAAGTAAAAGTCCAGTTCCTCAGTCACACTAGCCACATTTCAAGCGCTCAGTGGCCACATGTGGCAGGGCTGCCTTGGGCCTTTACAAGTCAGTATCTACCACATGGGAGCACCTCTCAAAGCAAAGCAGTAGAGGGCAGCCTAGCCATACTACTTCCTCCCACTAGGCAATTTATCTTCTCAAAACTTATACTTTCTCCATTCCTCATTTTCTACACTCCCCCTAATCTCTCAGCCCCCAAATTTGTTTCTTAACTACTAAATTACTATGTTATTATTATTCATGTTGCTAATTTTGACACACTTATTAAAAGACAGGCATCCCTGGTGCAAACGGTTAGTGCACTTAGCTGCTAATAGCAAGGTTGGAAGTTCGAGTCCACCCCGAGGCACCTGGGAAGAAAGGACTGGAGCTCTACCTCCGAAAAATCAGCCATTGAAAACCCTATGGAAGCACAGTTCTACTCTGGCACACATGGGGTCACCATGAGTCAGAATCAACTTGATGGCAATGGGTTATTATGGACAGACTGGACACAGCAAATAGCACTTTTTTTTTAATTTGTTGTAGTTTAAGTGAAAGTTTACAATTCAAGTTAGTCCCTCATACAAAAATTTACACATACATTGTTATGTGACCCTAACTGCGCTCCCTATACTGTGACAGCACACCCCTCCTTTCCACCCCTGATTTCCCGTGTCCATTCAACCAGCTCCTGACCCCCTCTGTCTTCTCATCTCACCTCCGGACAGAAACTGCCCATTTAGTCTCATGTACCTACTTAAGCTAAGAAGCACACACTTCTTGAGTATCATTTTATGTCCCACAGTCCAGCCCAATGCAAGGAGCACATATTCAGACGACCCTATGTTCCAACTTCAGCTTGAAGCCATTTACTAGCTATGGTGTCCTTGGCCAAGTTTTTCTAAGTGCCACTGCCCTTATCTGTAGAATGGAAATGAGAATAGCAAATGAGATAGAGTACATGCAAGCTTTTCCAATCCACACGCACTGCAGAATGTCCTCTTCTATTACTATTTTTGTTACCTAAGCAATCGTTTATTATGTCTCTGTGCCTCCACTCCCTCATCTGTAAAATAGGAATAATAATAGCACTTATCGTACAGGGTTGGTCTGAGGATAAATGAGCTAATATACGTAAACTTTTAAAACAGTGCCTGGCACACATTAGGCACTATATAAATGTCTGATACTACTATATCATTTGCTTTTCTTGAACACAGTGGGGGGGGGGGCAGGGGGTGGTGGACCTAGGATGAAAGTTTCCTGTTTGGGGAGTTCCACTGTAACAAGGTCATAGGAATTTATTTAGATTGTTTCATTTTTATGATGCCATTCCAGAGGACCTTGCAATTTTGCTTATGGCACCTTCCTCCACAACTTGAGAAGAAACACAGCTCTCTGGATCACCTTCAGCTTCCTTCCAACTCTTCCTGGAAGGGCCCTCTGGAGCTACTCCTGAAACCGGACTGAACAGCTCTACATGCAGCCCTTACAGGAGAATCAATAAATCCTGTCTACTAAACACGTACCCTGATTCCCCCTACTCAGGTACACAGCTCTGCCTAGTGACGCGGAAATAGCGGCCTAGAAAACCCGAATTACAGTCCTGTCACTAACTATACTCAGCTACTGTGCTAAGAAGGGGCTAAGCATCCAGGCTCTGGATTGTACTCGGGTTCAAATCCCAGTTCGACTCCTCCTAACTGTGTCACCTAGGGCAAACAACGTGCTCTAGAGGCTTGGTTTTCTCCCCTACGGATAATGTGGGGAAAAATACCCTCTAGTTTACAAGATCGTTATATGGATTATATGAGCACAGATGTGTAAAGAAATTAGCACAATAACACTTAACGAGAGCTCCACGTCCGTGGTTAGCGGTGCACTCCTGCAAGAATGGCCCCGATAAAGTCCCTGAAACCACAGACCCTATTTCTCGCAGCCTCCTCCGCGTCGCTAACCCTCGGGGACTAAAAACGTGAGGCAACAGGTGACAGCTCCCGGGCTTCCTGCCCTCGCCTTCCTGGGGCCGCAGCTCCTCAGGAGCGAAACACCCGGCCGAAAATAGCCGGGCAGCGGCGGCCCGGGCGGCTCAGTCCCCGCTCTGAGCCGGACACGGCACGTGCCGGGGTGGGTCCTCGGGCCCTCCAGCCCCGGCCCGGCCCCTTACCCCGAGCCCGTTACCTGCTCGGCCTCCGCCAGCCACAACCAGAGCTGCCGCCATGTCCGGAATTTGTACCTGTCGCTAAACACGAAGCACATCTCCGGACTGGCGTAGCGGGAGGCCAGCGGTGAGCGGTAGGTGTCAGGCCCATCAGCCGCCGGCTGCACGCCACGGTCGCCTGTTGCCGCCATTCCGAACACGCTAACCCGCAGTAGCGTACGGAACGGGCAAGGGCGAAAGCGGAAGCTGGTGGCCGCGGCCGGGCGGGGGTTCCTTAACTTGGGGCGGGACTTCCTTAACTTGGTCCCGCCTTCTGGGAGATGGCGAGGCGGGCTCTCGCGTGCTTGAGGGGGGGCAGTGTCGACTGCTACCTGCTGAGGGTTAATGTTTCTCCGTTTGCAAGAAACGTTATAGCGCTTAATAAGCTACTTAGCTGCTTTGCGCCTCAGTTTCTCTGAGGAAAGGTACACTAAGACCTGCCTCTTAAGATTATTGTGATAATTCAGTGAATTACTACGTGTAAAGCTCTTGGATAGATACGTGTACACTTAGAAATCCCTGTATGTCTTTGCTATTATTATTTGTTATTGTCAACCACCCCATCCCGTCTCCTACGGTCAGCCTGGCGCACCAAGCATGGTTTCGGGAGAAAGGAAGGTGCCCAGGAAATCGGCGTTATTGAGCACCAAGTGTGCCCCTTGCGCGAAGCTGCGGAAAAATGGACTCCAGTGAGTGCATACAGGTTAGGGAACTGAGACTCCTAGAAGCTGAGTGACTTGCTGAGGAGTGCTCAGTAAGGGGAGCTGAACCAGATGCAGATCGTCCGAGTTTACAATCTGCGTTGTTAGCCATTCGGCTGTATAGTTCCCAGTCCACACCACGCTTCCGCGGCTTGGTGAAGGCATTCCCTCGCCTGAACACCTCTGTTTTCTCGCTACCTTTTAAGTCCCAGCCCAGAAAATGCTCCCTGATGGTCCCACTCTCCTCTGCTTGACCAATAACAATCAAAACCACTAACATGTATGGAGATCTCACTAGATATGGGTCACTGTCCAGAGTGCTTTACAAACGTGAGCTCCTTTAATCCTTGTTTGTTGTTAAGTGCCATCGAGTCTATTCCGACTCATAGCGACCCTATGTACAACAGAACGAAACACTGCCTGGCCCTGCGCCATCCTCACACTCATTCTTATGCTTGAGCCCATTGTTGCAGCCATGGTGTCAATCCATCTGCTCCAGGGTCTTCCTCTTTTTCGCAGACCCTCTACCTTACCAAGCATGATGTCCTTCTCCGGAACTGGTCCCTTCTGATAGCTTGTCCAAAGGATGTGAGACAAGTCTCACCATCCTTGCTTCCAAGGAACACTGTGGCTGTACTTCTTCCAAGACAAATTTGTTGGCTCTTCTGGCAGTCCATGGTACATTCAATATTCTTCGCCAACACCATAATTCAAAGGCGTCAATTCTTCGGTCTTCCTATTCATAGTCCAGCTTTTGTTTGCATATGAGGTGATTGAAAATATTGTGGCTTGGGTCAGGTGCACCTTAATCCTCAAAGTGACATCTTTGTTTTTCAGCACTTTAAAGAGGTCTTTTAAAGTGTTTTGCAGATTTGCCCAATGCAATACCTCGTTTGATTTCTTGACTGTTGCTTCCATGGGCGTTAATTGTGAAACCAAGTAAAATGAAATCCTTGACTACTTCAGTATTTTCTCCGTTTATTATGATGTTGCTTATTGGTCCAGTTGTGAGGATTTTTGTTTTCTTTATGTTGAGGTGTAATCCATACTGAAGGCTGTAAACTTTGATCTTCATCAGTGTTTCAAGTCCTCTTGCTTTCAGCAAGCAATCCTTGTTTGAGTATTATTAAATGAGGTAATACAAGTAAAGCCCTTGGCACAAAGCACAGAGTTAAGTGCTCGTTAATGCTAGCCATTATCATCCTTGTTTTGCAAATGACAAAACAAAGGCAAGGGCAAGTTGAGTAATGTCTTGAAATTGCTCATGTAGAAGCAGGAGAGCTAGGATTTAAATGCAGGCCAATAAGCCCCAGACATCTGGTTCTTAACAGCTCCAAATTCACCCTTTCCTTTACAGAAGCAGGTTCTATGCTGCTTTGAAATGACCTGCATAAATGAGACCTCCCAAGGGAATTCCACTTCAAATTTCTGGCTTATTTCCTGGGGTGAACTCCCCTTTCCCAAGGACCACAGTATTTCAGGGGCATTAAAAGCTGCTGATTAGATCTTAAGGCTTCAAGAGCTCTTCTGTGACAATAACTTCTTTTCTTGTCACATTTCCATTCTGCTTTCATTTATAGTATTCACAGATTCACTTAGAAACCTGTGGAGCACCAGGCAGTGTTCTTCCTCGCTCTAGGCCTTCTTAGATGCCTAGTGACCTCCTGGATTCCTACAGGCCTCTCTCTTAACTCTCACGAGAGATCAATGTTTTTCCCTTTCCCATTAATGGCAAACTTGGTGGGGGCAAGGACCATGTCTTTCTCAGTCACCCCTGTGTCCCTGGCACATGGCGAAGGATGTGGCATAGTATACATGTTCAATGTCTGCTGAATGAATGAATGAGTGAATATGGATCTCTACCCAAAAAGAGCCTAGTTCAGCAAGAGAAATAAGGCCCACGATACAAGCTAGATCCTAACACTGCACTTCCTTTTCCTCTGAACTTCACCTCTCTGAAATCTCCTCAGTATCCTCATTCCATGGCTCTTTCACATTTCCACCTGGACCCCAGAATTAGCAGTCAATTATAGTTCAGTGCAGTGCCCATTCCAGAACACCTTGGCCATCAGAGAAGCCCATCAGTTACCTGGGCTCATCACTGATGTCTTCTTCCACCTCTTGGGCTGCAGAGGAGTGGTTTTTGGTATGAAGAAAAAGTTTTGGGAAGATGAAGAATTTGCTCCCTGCAATTTCCCAATCTTCGCAGAGGGCTTCAGGGCTGCCATTCCTTTAATGTCCTGTAATAAGTTTATTCTTCTCACTTTCCACTGTGACTATTGCAAACTCAACTCTCCCTGCAGTCTTATTTACCCTGTCTCCTGCCTCTGCTTCATTTTACTTTTCCTCCTCAAAACAGGAGTGCCTACCCCAAGTCTTCAATCTTTTCATGCAGGAAAGGGGATCTTTCTCCTTCAGTTATTTTGTCTTCAATCTTGAATCTCTTCAGTTCTGCCTCCCTTCCTCACTGATCTTTTTTAAAGGCACAGGTCTCTTCCACTCTAGGAACATCTTCACTTGCCTGAGTATCTCGTACTATGGAGTTTGATTTCTCTGGCTGCCTCTTCACCAACCATCCCGGGCACTGCCACTTCTTAGCTGTGTCACTTGGGCAAGTTACTCACTCTTTTGGCCCTTGGGTTTTCTCACCTGTGAAATTTGGCTGATGATCCCCAGGACGGAATTGAGGAGCGAAGGCAGAATAGATGCTGTCTCCCTGGACCTGTGTCTGGGACACATGTGCCTAACAAATGAGTTCCTCTTTCCTCTTCACGATGCAACTCTGCCCTCTTCCCCTTCCTCCAAACCACACTCATTCATCACCAACATCTTTCTTTAATAGACAAATCAAAAGTCTCTTTCCCACAATAATATATGTTTGCCTATATCTGCGTAAGGAGCCCTGGTGGCGCAGTGGTTAAGTGCTCCGCTGCTAATGAAAGGTCGTTGGTTCAAACCCACCAGCTGCTCCAAAGGAGAAAGATGTGGTAGTGTGCGCCTTGGAAACCCTATGGGGTAGTTCTACTCTGTCCTATAGGGTTGCTATGAGTTGGAACCAACTTGACAGCAATGGGTATATCTGCATAAAGAAATACTGGAAGGACAAACAAGAAGGTAATAAAATGGGGCTGGGGGGTGAGCGTGCAGAGAATGAAGTAGACAGGGACAGAGCTGGAGCCAAAGCTCCCAATTTCCATCTCCATATTGTTTTGATTTTTGAATCAAAAAGTTTTTTTAAATTATTTTGTTTAGGACAGGGTGGTGGCAATGGAGGTGGTGAGAAAAAAAAATTATTTTGTTCACTTATTGCCGATTCAAAATAATTTTAAAAAGGTCTTTTTCCTGTACTCATTCATCTATCCTGGCTGATTGGAGTAGTTAGCATTTTTTGATAAATTTCCTTCTCTCTGCTTTGAAAACTAAATTGTACTGCTTTTCTTTTTTTTTGTTGGGGGGGAGGTGTCTACTTTTGATGACCCTTCCTTCCTCCTCTCACTCCTTGAAAAGGAAGTGGTGGAAATTTCCTTAAGGTTTAACTCATGTGTCCTCCCCTTGGAAATTACTTTCGTATCTGCAAGGCTTACCTTCTGAGTCTGCAGGTTCTTCAGAGTTTGGGTTGTTGATGTTCAAAGGCCATCCAGACATGTCCACCTGGCTGTCTCCATTACCTAAAGCAATATCTTAAATCAGATTTTATTTTTCGATCTCTCTTGTGACCTAATTCAATGAACAGGTCTTCCAATTGTTGTATTTTCTTTTTATCTATCCTTGTTTTTATTTTAGGCCTTTTTAAACCTAGTTCCTTAAATTAGACAATTTCTTGACATAACGTCCTGTTAGAATATTAGGATCATTCATTTCCACAATGGTGTCTACTGCGTGCCAGGCATTGTACTAGGCATGGGTATACGATGGTCAACTCTCTTGAATCTTAGTTCAGTAGTGCAGACAATCCAATCACCAAATCAATGATCTGATTGCTGATCTGAAGACAAGAAACGTGCCTCTATGAAATCCAGCTTAACTTGGGGGAGTGCATGGTTGACAAGGAAATGACTTGGAGTGGGACGCAGGAAGGACCATGAAAAACTGAGAAGAGGCTGATGAGGCTGGAGTGGAGAGGACATAGGTGAAAGGAAGGGAATTAAGTTTGGAGAAGTAGATGGAAGCCAGACCATGAGAGCCTTGTTGGAAATGATACAGTTATTTGGGGCTTTATTCTAAGCAATGGAAAGCCACTAAAGGGCTTTAGGCTGGAGGATGATTTGATCAGATTTGCATTTTGACAAATATCACTCTGGCTATTATGTATAGAATTGATAGTTGACAGGACAACTGGAGTGAATGCCAAGTGAGAAACTAGTCGGACTAAAGCAGTGGTCTAGATAAGACCTAGTGGTGTAGGTGGTCTACACTGGACAAGGGAAGTGGCTCAGGAGATGAAGAAAAAAACAGGTTTAAGAGTTTAATAGA